ATGTCTAGACGACTATGAAATATAAGTATTGATATATAATATATTCATGTTCAATGGTTAAACTTCTTAATTTTGTCTGTTAATAAATGCATTCTGGTCTTTTCAAAAATTTGAATGAAAAATTTTGGATGCAGATAGTTCATTCTTTTATCTGATACATAATATACCATAGGTGATCGACCCGCACCGTGTGCGGACATAAATTTTTTTAGTGAAATACGTTAATTTTGGTATTTAATAACACAATTATATCATTTATAAAAATTAAATATGCTTAGTTGTTAGTTTTTAAATTAATATGCATGTAGGAAACCAATATGCACATATATATATATATTATTTTGAGAATCATTGTGAAAATTTTTGATTTTTACATATTTTTTTTTGTTATTTTTATGTTGAAATAAAACACAAACACTGGATAACAATATGTAAAATTTTATAATTAGTGAAAAAATATAACATATTAAAAATGTTATACATGGCGAGCATGAAGAATTTGTAAACTCTGTTAACAATAGTAACTATATATGTTTTGTTATCATTTGTCTCATTTCCTTCTTCTAATTTTTTCTTTTCGTTAATCATTTTCGTCCTTTGTCTTCTCCTACCAATTTTTCTTCTTATAGTTTGTTTATTTCATGTTCTAGTTTTTTGGTTTTTTTCTTCGATTTTTTTTCTCGTCTATGCGCTGTTTTCTGTTTTTATTCATTCTTCTTCTTGTTCTTCTACATTTGTTACTTGGTATGTTACCTAATTGGAGAAATGAAACTGATTGAAATTATTTTTTTCTCTCATTTTCTCTAAAAAATTCACTATTTAGGATAAATTTTTTTCCTTTAAAATTAACTAAATCTCATCAAATTAGAGGAAACTAAGCCAATTTATATAGAACTGTTAGTTTACAAAAGATGAGAGGAATAGGTTGGTGGAAAAAAACTACTTCCACTCCATTTTTTTTATTTACATTTTTACTCCAGTTTCCGTGAATATATATGTAAAAAAAAATTAAGAACCAAAACCATGTTAGAGACTCAAAAGAAGCATCTGAAAGAACAAATATGCTGTTCATTGTTAGCAACCATAAAGTCAATGCATTGTTGCACAAAAAACATAAGTTACAAAATTTGATTG